TGTGTATAAATACCACATGTGTTTTCTTCACTGAGACCAAAGCCCATGGAGATGGACTTAGGACTTGCTGGGTCCTCCTGCTGGGGCTTGGGGGGACTCCTACCCAGCACAGCACATAGTGAGGCCCAAGAGAATGAGGGAAACACTGACAGACAGAAGGGAGGAGCCACTCCCTGTGTGCAGCTCACAGATCAGCACACACGCAGGCGTGTTCACACACTCACGTGGCATGGGCTTGTCTGCCTGGCCACTGAGGCCCTGAGAACACCAGAGGGCTGGTGAGCTGAGCTGTCGGTCACAGCCACACGAAGGCCCCAAGCACTGTGCCGGAGAGCTAGGTCCGGCCAGCCGGAGGGAGGAAGGAGAGGGTTAGAGAACACCCTGCAGGACGCAGTGTGAACAGAGGGGAGCAGATGAGCCAGCCACTCCATCAGGACCAAGCACAGGAGGGGCCCAGGAGGAAGCAGAGAGCCCAGGTTGGGACCAGGGACACAGGACCACGAAGGGGTAGAAGCCAAGGAAGGAAGAAGCCAAGGCGACTGCTCAGGCTGGAGGCGTGGACACAGCAGTCCCGGGTGAAGGCCCAGCCTCCACAGACAGGGCCGGGCTCCAAAGCGAGCCATACTGCCTGGTCCCTGCACTCAGGAGGCTGAAGCAGGAGGATCACTGCAAGTTTGAGGGCATGCTGGGCTACATAGCAAGACTTCGTCTCTCAGGAAAGGAAGAAAGGAAGGAAGGAAGGAAGGAAGGAAGGAAGGAAGGAAGGAAGGAAGGAAGGAAGGAAGGAAGAGAGAAGAAGGAAGAGGAGGAGGAGGAGGAGAAGAGAGGGCCGCTTCACCAGCTGACAGCCGGGTTCCTGGGCTGCCTGGCCCCACAGACAGAAGAGCCATCTTCGCTGCTCCCACACTGCATTCCTTCTACTTCTCCCTGTCACAGCGCTCTGCACTGTGACAGGGCGATGCGGTGGGGACTCTCCTGATGTGATGCATCATCACTGCACACAGAGCCAGGGCCATTTGAAAGGTGCTATTTGGGACGAATCGGAAACTTGCTATTTTCAACCCTTCATTTGAATCTAGTGCTGTTCACAGGACCAATCAGAAGATGCTCTTTTCCGTCCTTCATTTGCATATGGGCACAGCCAATCAAAAGACACTTCCTGATTCTTCATTTACATAGGACAGGAAGCCAAGCGAGCTTTTTGATAGGACAGTTTACCCAGGGTGTGATGCCAAGGGAGCATTTGATAGGACGACAGCCCAGAGCCTTGTTTGCATGAGAGAGACACAGTCTGAGAATTTGGGACACAAAAGACTCCTCCCCTAACCTGGGGCTGCCGTGAGTCTTCACCAGCCCTCTCTCACCCTGCAGAGCGAACTCTTTTCCACCTTCACTAATGTACCCCTGAGCTGAGCAGCTTTGCCCCCCAGGCCCTTCCACCACGACATCCCTGCCTTGGAGCAGCCGACCGCACACTGAGTCCATGAGCAAACGAAATCTCTCCGCTTTACGTTGTGGGTATTTTATTGTGTCTCAGTGATGAGAGAGCTAATATAACTGGGCTCTGGCGTTTCTTAAACACACCCAGACCAGTTTTAGGGAAAATGCCATCTCTTACATCAGCCAGGAGCTCCACCTTGGACCACCTGTCCTGACTTGAGCTCTGGAGGATCTTGGCCTTCTGCTTCCTCCTGGTCTATGCAGTCACACTGGCCCCACTGGTGTCCTTGCACAGATGCAGCCAGAGACAAGGATCCCTGAGGCTGGTGGCACCAAAACACGGAACCGTTGCTTGTGCTGTAAAACTCAGGCAGGAAGAGGACAGAAGCCACACTCTAGGTCAGAGGAGACTGTTTTACGCTGTGACTTTGGGCCCCGGTGGCCCCTGAACCTGTGGCTGCAGAGGTGCCGAGCTGTGAGGGGCCACAGAGGACAGGCCCCTCCCATCCACTCAAGTGGCCTGGCGGCTCCTCACCCGATGGTGGGCAACTGCAGCTGAGACCTCTGAGCTCTGTCCTCTCCACAGTCCTGTGGCCTCACACCAGGGACAGATGCGCTGCCAGCCCGGAGCCTGCGCTGTGACCTGGGGGATCCATCAGAGGCCCTGTCCTCACCGCCACGACCTCAGGCAGGGCGAGACAGGCCCTCCCATCTGAGCACGGGCCTGCACACCCCTCGGCCTCTGCACAGGACTAATGAGTAAAGCACGCGAGTCTGAGGACTCTCTCTCCCACTGCCCTTGAAGTGAGCACACATTCATGGAGACGTACTTTGGAGAAAATCTCCCTCTGCCTATCTCCAACTGCGAGAGGCTGAGAAGTTCTGTGTCCTGAGCTTCCGGGCGGTCACCGAAGAGCTGGATGTGGAAAGTGGAGATTTCACAGCACTCCCTGGGGCCGGAAGACAGGAAGGAGCCAATTCGAACACAGGCTAAAAATACCACTGGGCCTCAGCGACAATGAGTAACACTGGCTCTTCCCCAGGCAGACAATTACTGTATGAGGAAGGATTGCGCTTAAAGCTGCACAGCTAAAGATGTCTGGCGACCAGCAGAGAGGAGCGCGATCCCTGTGTTCACGGAGCACACACCCGTGTGCCAGACTCCAGTTGCGTCGGGGACACGGGACGCATGCAGGTGACAGCGCTGCGATGTCTTCCAGCTGCACAAGCACGGACTAGGTCAGTGTCGGGGTCCACCCTGCAGCCCTGCACGCCCTGCCAGGCCAGGGCCGGAGGAGGGCAGCACGGGGAGGATGACTGTGGGCCACGTGCTGTGCACATTTTCTCAGAGTACTCACTGTCAGTTTTCATCTCTGTCACAAAATCCTTGACAAGAGGAAGGATTTATTTGGGGCTCGTGGTTCCAGTCCATGGTCAGCTGGTTCCGTGGCTACGGCCTGTGGTGGGACAAAGCATCATGGGAGAAAGTGGCGGGCAGGAGATGAGAAGGAAAGGGTGGAGGAAACATGGAGCTGCTTCCTCCAGCTAGGCCCACCTCCAAGGAGCCTATGGACCCTGAGCGCATCAGTGGGCTGGGCCTCGGAGAAGTGAGCACCCTCAGAGCCCCGTCTCCTCGCAGGCCTCGAAACCCCGTCCAGGTGACGCTCAAGGTCAGCTGTCACTTACTCTTGGCTGGAAACTATGCAGCCTTGAGGGGTGGTTGCATCTCGGTCAGCTGTTGCTGCTGTAACAAAGAGGGCTGGCAGCCAATAACCCACACAGACTGCTTCCCCAGTCCTGGAGGCTTCGAGCCCGAGATGAGGGTGCGGCTCGGACAGTGTCTGGGGAGGGCCTGCCGGGTGGCACATGGTACCGTCCAGCCGTGCCCTCACCTGGTGAAGGGCACAGGGAGCTGCCGGGGCCTTTATGAGGACCCTAACCCTATGCAGGAAGTCCCGCCTTCAGGACCAACGCTCCGCTGGGATCCAGTGTGGCCCAAGAACCCCATCGCTCTGCCGTGTTGCTCAGGAAATCTGACCGAACAAAAGGCCTGCTCCATGCCCCTGCCATGAAGATTCCAGTTTTGGGGGCCACTTTCAGTCCCCAGTGGGTGGGCACTGAGGCTGCAGAACCCCAGGACTCGGAGGCTGGCTGTGTCCACAGAACGGCGGCAGGCTGGCCTCCAGGGGGAGCACAAGGCAAGCTGAGGTGGGCACGCGCTGCCTGCCGGGAAAGAGACCCATGGCACAGGTGGCGTCCAGAGAAGGGCATGGGGAGCCCCTGGTTTACAGGGAACAGGAGCCGCGGAGGACACTGACACTCCACCGGGCTTCCAGTCAGAGCTGCAGCCAGGTGGAAATCAGGTGGGATGTCCTTGAGTGCCAAGAAACCACATCCCATCTGAACCTGGCACCAGCCGGGAGGTGACGCTGGAGAAAGGATGAGTCCCTGAATTTCATTTATGTTTCACAGGCCCTGGAATATAGAAGAACAAAATGAAGAAGCCAGGTGTGGTGGTGTACACCTGTCATTCCAGCACTTGGGAGGCTGAGGCAGGAGGATTGCCTCAAGTTCAGGGCCAGCTTGGGCTACATAGCGAGTTCAAGGTGCGCACACACACACCAACTAAATTTTTTAAGTGAGATAATGGGAGTCACGTGGCAGGACAGAGGAGGGAGCAGGCCCTGGTGTCGCTATGACCTCTAACTTCCTCTTCAGATTCAGTCTCCCTTGCAAGGGCCTGGAATGACTCTTGGTGTCATCTCCACGGTGTCGGTGTCGGCTTCCCCCAGGCACTATGCAAGCCCCGCTGTGGCCGAGCCAGCTGCCTGTTATCCTGCAGACGCTGTCCACCTGGGGGCAGTGGCAGATCGAAGCTGAGCTAAGGCCGCGTTCCCTCCTCTGTCTCCACTTCCAGTGCCAGCCTAGCTGCTCCCCTTGTGCTCCCTCTCCTCGCTGAGCGGCTGTAAACCAGGGCTCCCCACCCCACACCCCGAGTTCAGTGTTTATGCCACAGGCCCGAAGAACCCAGGGAAGCACCTGCTTGGGGTTGAGGCTCACAGTCCACGTTGTCACAATGACACAGGGGAAGAGGGGCCGCTCGAGGTGCAGGGAAGGGCCGGCTGCCTCCCTCTCTGCGGAGTGCTGCTCTCCAGCAGTGAGCTTGCAGCTCCCAGGAGGATGTCACCCAGTGGTCCGGCCCAGGGACTTCCCGAGCCTCCTGCCTGGCAGTGGGGTGGAGACTGCCTGGTCTCTCACAGTACCACAGAACTTGTACAGCAAGTAACACTGTTGCTATTTTATCAGCAGTGTACTAATGCTCTGAAATTCAGCCCTGCCCTCTCTCTCCAGGGCCTGAAGTCAGCTCATCAGAACTCTGTTAAGACAAAAATCCCTCCCCTCCCAGGGTTACGGGAAAGGGGGCATTACAACTCCCACCATCTTATGCTGGCAGCCATAGGGGTGGCCTCCCTGGGCTCAGGGGGAAAGAAAGAAGGAAGGAATGAAAGAAAGAAAGAGAGGGGGAAGGAGAAAGAGAGAGGGAGAAAGACATCAACACATCAATTGTTTATTTGTTTATTATTTTCGAGACAAAGCCTCATTATGTCGTTCAGGCTGGGATCCTCCTGCCTCAGCCTCCTGAGTGCTGAGATCAAAGACGTGAGCCACCATGCCTGGCTAAAACTGTAGTTGATTTTTCTCAGACAAAATTCTTGGTTATATTTCCAAGTGTTGTTTAAAATTTTATAGCTCTTAGAGCCAACAACAGTGCATCAAATGGACCCAGTACACAGACTGTGAAACCCCAGAGGGTGGTACCGTGGCTCGCTCCCGCTCCCGGACGCACTGGACATCATCAGTTGTTAGCCCGCCTGGAAGGAGGAGGAATGCGCCAGGGCTCCCATGTTTAAAGGGAGCAATTTCAGAGGCGTCAGGGGCCAGACAGTGTCTGGAATCAGCCGAGTCACGCTGGAAAGCGGGGAGGGGAGGCTGTGCTCCGGAGAAAACAGATTCAAGCCTTTGTGGCACCTGGCAAGCAAGGTCCAGCATGGGTTCCGCAGTGTGTCGGCCAATGCAGTCCTAAGTCCCCTGTTCTCACACACATTTGAGGGTGTCAGATTCACAGCCTCAGCACGCCAGACCTCAAAAGCAAGTTCTGGAGATAATTACGTGCAATAAGCACTTCAGAAATCAAACGTTAAGTGTCCATTCATATTTCTCTCTCTCTTCTCTTGCCCTCTTTTTGTTTTGTTTTGTTCTTTGAGACAACATCTCACTATGTAGTTCAGGCTGGCCTCAGACTCCTAGTAATCAGCCTCCCCAATGCTGGGATTACAGGTGTGCACCACCACGCCCGGCTTCCTATTTCTCTTCTCAAGCAGATGACAATATCCTGCACCAAAAGCAACACGCTCACTCTCATCGATAGGGAAGGGGTAAAGTCTCCAAGATTTAAAAACAAAGACCGGAAACCAAACAGAAAGACCCCCAGTCGGTCAGCATTCCGCCCAGCCATTCATTTAGGGTGGGCGCCTCATGGAGCTTGGCTCCAGGCTGGCCAAGTGCTCTCTTCGGTCCTGAATGCTGTGACAGACACAAAGCCTGGCTGGAACAGGCTGCGGCGTGAATGTGCTTTGCAGTCCTCACCACCTCCCAGGGTCTGTGGTCTCAGCCTCACGCACACAGAGGCAACTGTGAGGTCCCTCTGCCCACCTGGAATCGGCACTGCCTTTGTCAGGGACGGCGCTGGACCCCATGGTTTGTGGCCACTGCACAGACAAGCGTTACTGGTGCTGCTAGGACCAGGCCCTGGCGTCGTCCTGGTGGCCTCAGCTTGCTCCATGTCTGCGCCCCTGGGAGAGAACTCCCTGCCTCTCCTCACAGGCCCGAGCATTTGGTCTCATGGCATGTATCACGTGTGTCTCTGTGATAGACAGGCGAGTGGAGCCAAGGACAGTGGGCAGCTGGAGAGGCCCTGGGCCCGCGGGGGAGTCCGGGTGGCCAGGCCTCATCAGCCAAGCAGGAGCCCAAGGTCAGAGTTAGCAAGAGCCAGGTGGACAGTGAGGTCCGGGGACAGCAAGGAGACGGTGGCCGCTGTGACAGCTCTGCCCCTGCAGGTGTGGAAAACGCCTTCTCCTTCTCATTTTGTTCCTTTAACGAACCACCTGGACAGACAGCGGCCAAGAGGCCCCTGCAGACGGGCCTGCCCCGGCCTTGACTCCTCGGGCCCATTTCCAGCGTAAGCAAGCTGGTTTAGTCCTGTGGGCCTACCTCAGCCTGACTTGGGCGGTCTGAGCCTGCCTGTTGTGTGGTATAAAAGCTCCTGGACAGAGTCCCTCCCAGTAGCAATTACTGGGAGCTATGTGCCCAGGAGGCAGGGGCTGGAGGACAAAGTCACCACCCAGGAAGGACTGGAGGTGGCCGAAGGGATTCTCCCCGTGGCCTCCGGGCGGCCCGCCCTGCCGGCCTCTTCACCTCAGCCCGGTGCTGTGGATCCAACTTCCGGCCTCCAGAACCATGGCAGAATAAACTTCTGTTTGAAGCCACCAAGTCGGGGTCACTTGGTAAGGTGGGCGTGGGACACAGACAGCACCTCGGCCCTGGCTGGTTGTGGAAGGGGCAACCCCAGGCCAGGCAACGTGGATCTCCAGATACGTGTTCGGAACAGTTTGGGGGGCAGAGCTGGAGAAATGTCCCATGGCTCAGAGGCTGGCTGTGAACCCACATGGGCCACGCCTGCCTCACAGGAGGGCTGTTTGTTCTGCACCAGCAATGCAGACAGGTGAGGTTCGTAGTGTTAGGGACCTCATAGCATCCATCGGACACCAGCCAAACCCAGTCTTTGAAGGAATGGAGTCAGCGGCAGCGGAAGGACACATCCGAGCAACAGGCTAAAGCCCTGGCAACACAGGTTACTGGACACAGCCTTGGTTCTGCAGGGCACGCAAACCGGGGAGACCTCGGCCTAGAGCAGCAGGAGGAACAGCAGAGCAGTGATTGGAGTGCAGCTGAGCCTCAGGGGGAGCCGCCCCGCATGGGCCCTTGGAGAAGCAGTGGACCCATCCCGCAGACTGACAGGGAGCGGGTGAGGAGGTGAAGCTGGGGCAGCGCCCCCTGGTGGAGGGCAGTGCTACCCTCAGAAGCACCAGGCGTCCAACTCTGGGGCAGAGGCTGCAGGCCCCTGGGCACCATGGGAGGGTGATGCCCAGCCAAGCTGACCCCAACTGCAAAATGGATTAGATCCCAGGCTTGATGATCACAGCACTCGGGAGGCCGAGGGAAGACACTCCACCAGGCCAAGGCCAGTCTGGCCTACACAGTGAGTTCAAGCCAGCCTACACTACACAGCAAGACTGTCTCAAAACAAAAGGGAGCAGAAGGGAAGGAAGCAAAAGTCCAGCTGGAGCTGGGCTGAGCAGCTACAGAGCAGCCAGAGAGGCTGGGGGCCAGGACAGAGCAGGGCTGGTGAGGATGGTCCCAAGGGGCACATACAAGTGGACAGACAGGGCCTGGTGACGGTGGGGTAGCAGGGCAGACGGTGCCCGCCTAAGTAGGACAGGGCAAGGGAGGGGCGGATGGAAGGGAAGGCAGGGCACAGACAGTGAGTTCAGCTGTGAGTTTGCTGTGGGCATCCAGATGTTGATTCTAGCAGATGGTGACTAAAGCTAGGTGTCCTGAATAAACGAATATACACTGGTGGGGCTTCAGGCGGGGCTGCACTGCATGGTAACAGTGCCCTTCCACCACAGCTACTCACTGCGCTGAGCTGCACTAGGCCTGCTGCAGGCCGAGGCAGATAGGAAGCGCACGGGAAGGTGGAAGGGTCTGGGAGGCTAATCCGGGGGCACCGGGGCAAGAGGCAACAGAGAAGCCACACAGGAAGCTTGGAGCGCCCAGGAAAGCATCAAACCCAGAGCGGGTGAAATGTCAGTGACTCCGTTTATTTACTTGTTTGCTTGTTTGAGACAGGCTCTCCCTGTGCAGTTCAGGTCGGCCTTGAACTCACTATGTAGCCCAGACTAGCCCTGAACTCTCTGAGACCCTCCTGCCTCAGCCTCCCCAGTGCTAGGATCACAGGCATGCGCCACCACGCCTGGCTCCATGGCTCCCTTAGGCAAGGTGTGTGTCGGAGGGGTGGACAGTGGAGCCAGCTGCAGGTTCTGGAGGGTGAACTTCCGCCCAAGAGTCAAGGACAGCCTGTGAGGCTTCTCGAGGAAGCAGGTGGCCTCTCACTCTTCCCTAAGATCACTTCCGCTGCAAAGCCAGAATAAGGAGGGTTGAGGGTGGGGAGCAGTCGAGAAGCCATGGGAAGGGGAGGAAGGGCTGCTGCTCAGAGAAGCTCGAGGAGCAGGCAGACAGAACTTGGGGGCAGGGTGAGCCCTGGAGGTTCAGGAATGGGGGGCAGTTCCACGATCAGGTTCCTGGGTGAGTCCCCAGGGCAGTGTGGCTTGGGAAACCTAGGGTGAGCCTGGAGGGGCAAATGAGCCAACAGGGGAGGCAGGAGGCAGGAAAGCCGGGGCTATGACACCACTGAGCTACCGGTTCCCAAGAAGGAAGCGGTGAGTGCCACCAGCTAGAGGGCAGAGACAGGAAGGTCTCTAGTGATCCTCTGATTACACTGGAGACACCAGAGGGCACCAAGCCCTCATAGTGTCTAAGTGCCTCTAAGGTAGTGGTGCACACCTGTAATTCCAGCACTTTGGGAGGCTGAGGCAGAAGGATCACAAATTCAAGTCCAGCCTGTGGAACTCAGTGACTTAGGGAGACCCTGTCTCAAAATAGCAAGTGCATCAAGGGGACCCTAAAACTCAAGGCCCTTTGAAAGGTACAATCACCTTCAAGTGCAAGGCCCTTCTCCTTTTGCAGCTCAAAACATAAAGATACCCTTGCAAGTTCTTGAACAGTCGAAGAAATATTTAAGGTGCAAGAATTTTCAGACCGGGCTGGGGATTTAGCTCAGTGGTTTCTCCGCCCACTACACAAGCGCAAGGACCACAGTTTGATCCCCGGTACCAAAAAAAAAAGAATTTTCAGACCAATGGTCTGAAAAAAACCACTGACAACAGAGCTATAGGTTTGAGGGCAATTTTTTCACATCCATGAACCTAAGGCAAGATTGTTTCTTTTACGTGCTTGTCAAGCACTTCCTACATTACCTTATACAGGGTCCTGTGCATCCCGTGACTTAAAAATTAACACACGCTTGACAGGTATTAAAACTGATTTTAAAATCCAGAACTTTCCAGGGTGTGGTCTACAATTCCCTTTGGAAGGCAGGCCCCAAGCCGCTGTAGGCTTCGGAGCCAGAGAGCCTTTCTGCAGAGCTCTCTGCGGTCCGGCATTCCTGCTATCCGGTCCGGTTTTGATGGAGTTGTCATAGTCATGCAACTAAAGGAAGCCGACGAGATACCAAGGGAGGGCTGGCGCTACGGAAAATCGGATGCTGTCCTGGTCGCTGGACACCTTCTCTTAGGAGAGGTCTGTGAGCGCGGGACACTCGCGCCCGGATGTGCAGCTTTACCGCTCGTCTCCGGCCAGGTCCGGGGCGCCCCCGCAGGAGACGCGATCGCACGTCGCCGGCCACGAGCTGCGCAGCGCCGATCCTCCCACGGGGCCCTGGCCCTGGCCCTCGCCTCCGCGGGCTCCCGCGGGGAAGAACTGCAGCGGCCACGGTGGTCTGGTCGGGCTCCGCCCGAGCCCAGCCCGGCCCAGCCCCGGGCCCGCTGCCGCCCCGCCGCCCTTCAGGATGGCAGGGCGCCGGGCCGCGACCCACGCGGAGGACGCGGGGACCCACGCGCCGCGCGGGCGCTGCCTCCGCCTTCGTCGCCCCGCCCTCCCGGCCCCCCGCGCCGCGCACCTCCCTCGCCCCGCCCCCCGGCGCCCGGCGGCCAATCCCGGCGGCGCGCACGTGACGAGCGCTGCCTGCGATGACCTCATCCCTGGTGTGGGATGACGTCAAATTCAAGATGGATGGAATCACAGCGGCAGCGGCGGCTGCGGCGCGCGCGAGCCGAGTGTGAGCAGAAAGGGCCTGACACCAAACTCCGGGCTGAAGAACGGTGAGTAACTGTCACGTCCCTCGCTCTAGGAGAACTGCAGGGCCCCGTAGGGGGCGATAGCCTTCCAGCAAAACGCGGCCTTTCCTGACGTAACTCTGAGGTGATTTCTCTCTTTTTCCTCCACCAGCGGGCTGCGGGCTCCGGGCTTTTCTGCGCCTGCGCGGCACCGTGGCTCTCACCGAGCATGCTCGATCTCCCACGTAGGCTCCTGTGCTCTCACACTGCTCATGCTCCTTGCTCGGACTTGGCCTCGCCCTGGCGACTGCGCATGCGTGGCCCTCCGGCCGGCAGTGCGGTTCACCCTGTCTGTGTTGCCCGGGGTACCTGCCGCGCGGGGCGCAGCGCGCGTCCCTCTCCGCAGAGCCGTTGCTACGCCCTGCGGGGGAGGGCGCGCGGCCCAGTTCTGGGCAGGTGCCGGCTTGGCCTGGCTGAGCGAGCGTGCGCGGTAGCTGGTGGGCGGCCGCGGGGACCCCGCACCCGTCGCGCCCGCTCCCCTGCCAACGGAGCGTGACAGCCGGCTGGCCAGGTTGGCTCCGCGGCCCGGCGCACCCTGCGGACAGCCGGACCTCGGGGCGCTCCCCTGTTCCCCTGTCGCCGGCCTTCGCCTGGCCATGGGGCGGGGGCGGGGGCGCGGGAGCGGGGCGGGACGCTACGCGATGGAGCCCGCTGCACCCCGCGCCCTTTCCGGCCCCGAGCTCCCGGAGCGCATCCGGTGTGTGCAGGGCCCCTCACCTGGTGTCGGAGTCCCCGGGGAACCCCGCGGCTCAGACTCGCACCCAGGGAAGCACGGGTGAGGGGTTAGGACTTAGGACAAGCGCCCGGTGGCAGTGACCCTGAGAGGCTGGGAGCCCTCGCCTAACCTGAGACTTTTCCTGCAGTGCGTGGGCCCCCTGCCTGTCACCTCTAGCGTCTGAAGGCAAGTGTGTTACAGCATAGTCCAGCGGTTGTTCATCAGCATGAGCCTGAGTCATCAGTTACCCGGTTTGTAGTCAGTTCCTCCTTCCTTGCTTAAGAGAACAAAGAGTGGGCTCATCCATTTTAAGATTTCTCCTTGAAAATCACGTTTTAAAATTTACTCTCGTGCTGAAGGGAGGAAGGCCTGCCTCCACCTCTGATGACAAATATAAGTTAGGTTAACTTTACCTCCTACTGTTGATGGTCAAGCAAACGTAGACACAGGCATAACTTCAGAGTAACTTTTTGCTTCATTCTTCCTTTTGGTACTATTGAAAGTATCATGTGCTTCATTCTGTGAAAAATTGAAGAAAATATAAGTTCTCCCCCAAGGAATTTATAGTATCTTATGTTAGGAAAGTATACGTATACGCTGGCAAGGGTTGAAAACTACAAGTAGCAGAAGAGGGATTAGATTATCAAGGAAGTCTCCAGAGAAGGAGGAGGTAACCAAGGAGACAATTTTGGTTGCCCTTGAAGTCTGTGGGGCTGTGAAGGCAGACACCATCGTTGTCCTAGGGCTCGGTTTATGTCACAATGACTGGCCAAAGGGAAAAGTGGGATCTCTGGCCCCGGAGACCTAGCTGTCAACTAAGACAGGGATAAGGATGGGGACACAAAAGTGTGGGCCCCCACCGCTGTTCTGGACCTTGGCGTATACTGGGACAGGGCTGGTCATCATCTAGGAGCTATGAAACCCGTAGGAGCACACAGACAGAGCAGAGATGCCGGGTGCCCGGCCTGTAATAGGCGGGAAACAGCAAGTCCCCTGATTTGGCTCTCACTGCAGTGGATACCTGCCAGCCCGAGCTGGGCTGGGAACATGCAGGTGAAGAAGAGCTCTTCCTTATGGGGAGTCTCCCGAGGGAGGCAGAGCACAGGCAGACCACTGAAACAGCTGAGGGGTTACTGCCGAGAGATGGGGTATTCTAGCATGCAGGTGACCACTGCTGGCCAAGCCAAGCTGCAGAAGCTTAGTAGAGCTCCTGGTGTTTCAGCTGGATCTTTCTACCGAAGGTAAGTTAGGTGAGGTAGAGAAGATACTTTAGGTGGCAGAACTGGGTGTGCAGGTTGGTAAGGCAGATTGTAAGGAGTGCCCATAAGGTGCAGAGGTGAACTGAGACAGAATGGAGCTTTGTGTGTCAGTCTCCAGCTTGGGGTTTTTCTCCGGGAAGTAGTAGAGAATAGTGTTCTAAATCAGAGCAGAGATGTGACCAGCTTTACTTAAAGAAAACAATGAAAAGGCATGGTTTCCACTCCTGCATTTAACTGGAGTAGAGGGGAAAGAAAGATCAACCAGTACTTACTATTATGCACAATAGCACAGTGGGCACTGTGAAGAGTGTCGGGAGATAGTAAATAATTTATCGGTCGTTACCGTCCTGTGAGGGGCCCCAAAAGATCAGCAGCATTAGCCGGTGCCTGCTGGGGATGACAGGGAACCTGGGAGGAAGTGTTTGTTCATTCTAAGCTGAAGTAGTCAAGGAAGGTGTTTTGGGTCAGCAGGGCTGGTTCCTCCTGTGGCCTCCCTGCTTGGCTTGCAGGTGTCCTCCTCTGCGTCTTCATAGGGTTGGCCCTCTGATTTTGTTCTGATCTCTTCAGGATACTGGTTATATTGGGTTAGGGCACATTTTAACTTAGTTGTCTCATTTTAGCTGAATTACCTCCAACTCAGCCCTGATAGAAGGCTTCCTGGAGGACTTGGAACTTGAGGTGAGCTGGGGAGGAGTTAGGCATGGCCTAGGACCCCCAGATCTAGTAACAGAACAAGTAAGGTAGGAAGGGACGGAATATCAGAAGCAGGGTGTTATCACAGGGAGTAGCTAAGGGAAAGAATTTAAAAAGCATTGGTAGTTTGAAAGCTGGTTTTAATAGAAGCTTGGAGTTCAGGTTTTTAAATTTTTGTATTTTAGCCTAATGGAGAGCCATTGCTAGTACTGGTTTGTTTTTAACCAGAGCACAGGCCCTCTCTGTTCATTCAGGTCTTAGGTCTCCTCTAAAAAATTACAACATGGCCTTTCCTGACCGTCCTCTGCAGCCCACCAGTCTTAATTCCCATCAGGGCACTTAGTGCATGGGAAGTTATCTTTTTATCCGTTTGTTTTCCTGTTCATCATCTAATTGAGCTCACTAGAAAGTGGGATCTTTGTTTGAGCACTCCATATTTCAGATGCATTTAACCACACCTTGCACATGAGAAGAGCTTGATAAATAAGCTGAATCAGTAATAGCAGGACCGACTGTATGTCAGGCCTGGTCAGAGCTTTGCTTCAGGCAGGTCACTCTAGCAGCAACATTGAAGGAGGGTTTGGAAGGCATGACAGGAAGGGTGAAGGCCACGTGGAAATGGATTAGTTAGGGTTCTGTAGGAAGAACAGAAACTGACCGGCTGGCTTGAATTGAAAAAGAAATTTATTATAAAAGCCCAGGGTTGTTCTTAGAGTTTAAGGGAAAGCTAAAAAAAAAAACATGGGACTGGAAAGTCCAAAACCAGACTGATTCCAGCAGTCCGTGTATCAGCACCAGCAGTTGGTCTTCAGGCTGCTACTGAACTGAATCATTCGGGCCCCATTCATCTGCGGGCTTTGTCATTGTCTGCAGGACCCATGTCTGGGGAGGAAGGCTCTCACTGGCCTGGCGTTGGGTGTGTGCCTGCTGCTTCAGACGGTGCCCAGAGCTGCTGGGAGGCTGGAACAGCAGCACAGGCTGTGATGGGGACTGCTCTGCTGCAGTGTGGGGAAGGCCTGACCTGTGTGATCCATGGCAGAGTCCCCCGGAGAATATAACCTCGAGCCACATCACAGGGGGAGGGGACAGAAGAGACAGATGCAGGTAGTAACCTGACTCTGACTCCTGCGAAGGATTGGGTCTCCAGGCCTGCCTTTGAAACCTGAGGCAGTGGATGCTTTCTCTGTGTCTGCACTGTCAACAAGTATGATGATGAGACTGGGCTCAGGGCCACCCTCCTGTCCCCCCTGAATAGTGAGGTCAGTCTGGGAGAGTGAGGGCCGAATTCGGAAGGGAGGGCGTGCTTCTGTCCAGAGTCCAAGGCAGGTGCTCTGTGTGTGCAGCTGGGTGAGTGCCTGTGCTGTGCCTGCCTCTCCTTCTGTGTCCAGGTTAGGGTCATCTGAGCAGTGTCCAGCATGCCAAAGGCCAGCATTCCCAGAGTTCAGTGTAGGGTAATACTGGGGATGTGAGGAGACATTTCCCTATGGGACCATTAGAAAGTTTCGTGAGCCAGTCCTAGAGAGGCACTTAGCTGTGACACCAGCCCGAGTTTTATCTTTGAAACCTGAAAATAGGTAGATCATTTTGGCCCCTTTCTTGTCTTTCCTTCCCTCCCTCCCTCGTGCCTTTGTATTGAGTGGCTTTCTTCACTTTCTTCTGCTTCCGTCCCCAGAATACTCTGTATACCAAAATTGCTACCTTTCCCTCCATCCCCTCAAATATCTTTATTTCCTACAGCTGATCCAGCCTTGCTTAAGGAAGAAAATAGCTAGTTAAAATAGTTTATATTAAGATATGGGTACCCCACCCCAAGTGCTTAGTGTACCAGAAGAATTTGAGGTGAAGGTATGAAGTAATTTTCTGGGATGCAGCTGTAGGTCTGTCTTGTGCTCATTCTAGGGAAGAAGACTTGTGGCCAAGGTGAGCCTTCAGGAGTTGTTAGGCCTGGGGAAGATCAGACGAGCACTTCTGACGTGTCTGCAGTAGAAATGTGGAGAACAGAGCCTTTGGCCTTCTGTAGTTGTCAAGTGGGAGTCTCAGGCCTTCCCTGATGTCCCCACTAAGCTCGGTACCCCCTCCGCCCCTGGCCATCTCGAAAGCTTTCTGAAATCATTGTCCTCCCAGCACTCTGCATTTGTCATCATAGTGTTGACCAAGGTGGCCAGCTTGCTCACCTCCCTTCACAGCACCCCACTGTGCACAGGGAGGAGATGGAGAGAGGCGGAAGTAAGGCATGTGCCAGCCAGGGGTTGTGCCCTTCAGATGAGGCTCTTGCTGCTGTTGCTTTGCTAGGCCTCCCGGGAAGGTCCCTGTGGTGGAGGGAGTGTTAGCCCCAGTGGTCATGCATGGAAACTGGCACCTGGGGAGGCCTCGTGGTCTGCAGAGCGTCCGTACTGCGCTGGCCACAGGTGGTCTGCTTGAAAGACTTCCATGGAACTGTTGTGTCTCCCTTGACTATTGGCCATAAAGAGTCTATTACTTTGAGATTTTGGGAAGCAACATGAAATAATTCTGGCAGCATGGGACAGTGTTTGTGTGGGAGATCCTAGTGGTCAGCCGGCCAGCTGTGTCAGAGTGTGGCTTCCAGGAGGTTCCTCTCAGCCTGTCCTGCTGTTCAGAGCAAGCCTTTTCTTTCATGTCCCACCACTTTCCTGTTAGGAGCACCCTGAGTTTTCTGCTGCGGCCACCCTGCCAGCGCTTGTGCCTTGTCAAGCCAGGTGACGGTGAACAGTGGAGATGGAAGGGGCCATGGCCAGCAGTGGTGACCTGCGGTTACGCCTGAGGTGCGCCATCTTCGGTAAGCCAAGTAAACCTGCAGGAGGACGGAAATCCCTGTGTCTGGACCCTGGAACTGCACCAAGGAGAAGCTATACCTGAGCAGTCAAACAGGTCTCTGCCGAGGGCTGCCGGGCAGGAAGTGGAAAGGCCCTGAGACCCCATCTGCCTCCACCAGCCACTCCACAGAGCCCTGCTGGGTCAGCTCCAGACACGAAGCTGCTGCCCTGTTCTGACTTTGCTCTTCAGCTAGGTTGTTACACTCAATAGAAACATGCATCTACTGTGGTTAAAGAGTGGAAATCCAGGGCCAGGGATTTAGCTCAGTGGCACTGCTGCCTGCCCTGAAAGTGCAAGGACCCGAGTTCGACCCCGGTTCCAAAAAAATAGAGTAGAAATCCAGTGTTAATTCTTTGCAGCTAGCCTAGGAAAGGGGCCCTTGTCTTCAAGGCCTAATAATTGAATTCAGATGTCCAAGCAAGGCCCTCACCTGGAGGAGGAGCCTACACCTTCCCCAGCAGCCCCTCTCCCATGTAGGGCTGGAAGCTCCTGCTCCTCCTCACTGGAGACCCTGCCTCGGGGCCTCCTCCTCCCTGTACCTCCCCTTTGCTCCAGCCAGACTGAACCTCCTGCAGCTCCTGCGGTGCCTCAGGCTCCGTCTACCTTGCCTGGACTGCCCTTGCTCCTTAGTAACCTTTGCCTTCTTTCCTCTCCGCGCTCCCTGATTCCTGTCCTGCCCACAGTCTCCTCCGGGTCTGCGTCTCCCTTTGCAGCCTGTCTGCCACCTGCACACTGGACTGCGCCAACAGATTACCTTGGCCTATTCCTGGGCAAGGCTTCCACTCCAGGAGGTAGGCCATACTGCTTGGGTGGACAGCCTTCCGGCAGTAGAGTTCTAGAACATTCTGAGCAGATCCTGGCCGTGTGGCACATGCAGTGATGCCTTCAAGAGCCCAGGCTCTGGGACCACAGCTGTCTCGGTGGCCGGAGGCAAACAGTTGACCTTTCAATTGCTCATTTCCCCAGCTTGGGAAACAGGCATGGTGGCGTGTCTCTCAGAAGATTACGTGAGAATCAGAAGAGGAAAGAGGTAGTGCCATGTAGGTTAAGAGCCCCACCTCTGAGCATGCCCTGCTGCCTATCTGTGTGGTCTCCAGCAGGTGCCTTGGCCTCTGTGCCTCAGTTTCCTTGTGTGTACACCAAGGGCAGTAATAACACCTACCTCCTAAGGTTGTGTAAGTCCTCAGTACACAGACGATGTTGATGTTGAGGTATTTCAAGTATACCGCCCGTGTTTGCCTGGGAGGAGTGGAAAGTGATACTGTCCAGTTCTCGTGCCCTGGCATGTCCAGGCCTCGGACATCTTGAGCCACTTGTCTAGCAGGGGGGCTTGCTGATGACTCAGTGGGGGTCACAGCCAGAAGAACGGCTTGATCTTCCCAGGATTTCCAAGGATAGTATTTGTCTGTAGCTCACCTCTTTGTGACTCTGTTATTTTCCCTGGTTCCCAGATGTTTTTGTTCAGAGAAGATAAAAGCCTATGCCCCAAGACATCAGAAGCAGTTACTTAGAGCAGAGCCAGGGCCCTGAGGAAGGAAGAAGCCTTTCTAACCAGCGGGCAGTGAGAAGAGTGCTGTGTGTGGCTCGTGTCCGTGGGCCTGGCCCCCTCTCGGGCTCAGCCTTCCCCCGGGCCCTTGGCTGCACCTGCGGCTTTCAGTCTCTCATTGCCTTGGTCTGAGTTCCCCACAAATCAGACCCAGATGAAAGGGTTTGAGTGCAGATGTTTATATGGCAATGCATGTTTCCATGGGCTGTAGGAAGTGTCCTCGCAGAGGAGGGTGGGTTAACAAACAAGTTGCCGCTTGCATGTGGAGTGCCAGAGTGGAGTTCCGCACAGGACAGCCCTGAGCTCCTGAGTGCAGGACACCCTCTATCTGTTCATCTCTAACCCTGTCCTCCTGTTGTCCCCTGCGGCTATGCCATTAACAGTCCTAGTGGCTGTGCTTCCCCTTCCCCATCCTGTGCCCCACCTCTGTTCCCCACAGGCAGCCAGAGCCGCTGTGTGCTCTGTAGCAGCATAATCCAAGCTTCATCACTTCTCTGCTGTGCAGCCCTCCCTGACACCACAGGCTGGTCCCATGCTCCCTGGAGTCCTTCGGGTGCCATTGGTTGAGTAGTGAACGGCGCAGGTTGCTGGCGGTACTGGCGGTGCGTGGTACTGCTGAATTGGCAGTAGATGTTGCTAGCATCTCGCTTGAGGCTCACCATGGCACTGTGTGGAAGCTGCCTTGAGGCTCAGCGGGTGGGCTCGCCTGGCACACTGGCTGTCGAGCTGTCTCCACTCTGACCCGACCCGCAGAGAGGAACTGCATCCCACTCGGTGTGCACTCACATGGGTGGCGGTGTCTGTGACCGAGCCAAGTGGTCCAGATCTTACTGTGGCCGTTTTCTGCTCTGTCCCAGGTGGTTTTTAAGTTGCTAGTTTCCAACTGCTCAGTTGAAGTTAAAGACCCATTTGATGAATCACCTCTCCAGCTCTTGCTTCTGTATCTGTTGCTTTTCCCTGTGGCAACATCTCAGAAATTCTTAGCACACCACATGCCCGTACATGGCTGAGTCAGGGCCTGTGGCGTCGTAAACTTCTTTCTGCTGAGGGGCTTTCCATAAACAGATGTGTGATTCTCAAACTACCTGAGACTGAAGGAGTTTCCAGTGGCTGACAGAGAAGACAGTGAAGGGAAAGTATCTCTGCCAAGCAGTCGCAGGTAGATTGGGTTTTGCCTTTCCTCTGAAAGATGGAGCCAGAGTGAACAGAGTCCTGCCTGCAGGCTCGGGCCAGGTGCTGGTGTGGGGCTGGGCTGCAGGCATCGTCCGCAGAGCAGGGCTGCAGCCTGAGTCCACTCCTGACCGAGGCGAGAGCAGCGCTGAGAGGCGTGTGCCCTGCCGTGCGTGCATGCGGTGGCTCCTCTCTGAAGGCCTGTGAGAACCCTTGCACTGCTGGGGCCCGGCGTGGCCCTTCTCCAGTGAGCAGGCTCCAGCGAAGCTGTCGCCATGTGGTTAGTCCTTCTGGATCTATTCTAATAGCAGAACAAATGTCACGGCAATTTTTGCGTTGTGTGATTCTGGACGAAACCCAAGGCCCCATTCAGGCTACGCCAGCTGCAGAACCACAGCCCTGAAGCAGTTTTTGAGAGAGAAGATGGCATTATGAAAGCAAACTGGAGAGACCTGCGGGAAGGGTCAGTGAAGGGCCACCTACAGCGGAGGGAGTGGAGAGGAGCAGAGTGCCAGGTATTGCTCGGGCACTGCCTCCCTGAGCTGGTGTGTCTTTGCAAGAGCACATCTGTACTCTTCTTTGATAACAAGTTAAATGCCCATTCATCGGGTAATCTCTGAAAGTTAAAGCACATTTATTGAGTGCTTGGTAGGGTTAGATGCTGGCTCCTGACCCCCTTGCCACAGCCCCAGGGGAGGGTGTGGCGTTCTTCCCACTGCACACGAGGGACCGCATGCAGAGGCCAGTGGACGAAACTGGGGCTCAGCTTGCCAGGCACGGGCACCGGAGCGCACACTGACCCTACACTAGGCGCCCTCAGCTCGTTTTTAGATTGGAGAAGAGTTTCAGAGAAATCTCAGTTGAAACGCCTTAAATTTAGAGCCATTCTGGTTTTTGTGCTGCTGTTGAAAATAGGACTTGGTGAGGTAATAGTATTCAGGAGATGGCAAGGCACTTAGTGTAAGAAGGAAAGCACTTTCCCATTCTGTCGCACTTGTAACACTTTTTCAACATTTGGGTTCGGTTAGCAAATGATTTTTCTCTTTCTCAGTTTTTGCCTATTTTTAAAGGTCTGATAAGACCTCTACTTTGCCGCTTATTGCTACCATTTCACTTAAGCATGTACAGTGATGAAACTCATTCAGAACTATAGACTCGAGGGTTTTCATAATTCTTATTTATTTCCCCAATTTCTTAGATCGAGCAGCACATGGGTAAGGACCCTAGATACTAAATCTTTATTTTCATATACCAGGTATCACATTTCACTTCCATATCTACCTGCCAGGTGCTAGCAGCCTTCTGATGGTATAGAAGTGCCTGCTGTATCTTTTGTTCTGAAAATTCTTCACTTTCATGCTTGATGGTCTGTCTAAACCATGAGACATGCGATTTTATGCTTTCACTGCTGTTTCAGTAAGGTTGTTCAGAAAGCTCATGGCGCCCCTGCCCCAGAGCTGTTTGCAGCTTTGTGGTGACAGTTTCGCCTCTGTCTTTCAGATAAGCCCCTGCGATGGAGGGGCTACTCCACTACATCAACCCAGCGCACGCCATCTCTCTGCTCAGTGCCCTCAATGAGGAGCGCCTCAAGGGACAGCTGTGTGACGTGCTCCTGATTGTCGGGGACCAGAAGTTTCGAGCCCATAAGAACGTGCTGGCTGCCAGCAGCGAGTACTTTCAGAGCTTATTCACAAATAAGGAGAACGAGGCGCAAACCGTCTTTCAGCTTGACTTCTGTGAGCCAGACACTTTTGACAACGTCCTGAACTACATCTACTCCTCATCCCTGTTTGTGGAGAAGGGCGGCCTTGCTGCCGTGCAGGAGCTGGGCTACAGCCTGGGCATCTCCTTCCTGACCAACATCGTCTCCAAAGCCCCACAGGCCCCCTTCCCGGTGTGTCCCAGTAGGAAGAGAGTGTCTGTGGATGAGGACGAGGCCGGCTCTCAGAAGCGAAGTGTCATCGTGTGCCAGAGCAGGAGCGAAGTGCCCGGGAAGGCCGCTGGTCAGAGCCCGGCTGACCTCAGCCCCGCTTCCCGGCTGTCCCCTAGTGTCACTAGCAAGAATGGCACCAACAAGCCACATGTCCTGAAGCCGGCAGAACCGCTGCCCAGTCTGTCCTTGCCTGAGAAGAGCTGGGCGAAAGATGCTCCCATGGGGTTTGCAAAGTCCCTGGAGCATCCTGGGCTGTTGGATGACCCAAGTAGAAGCAATTTGGTGAAGAGAAACGCAGCACTGCCGTCCAAGCCTCCACATGACAGAGAGGCTGCGGACGACAGGCCAGGGGTGAGCGGGCAGCTTCCAAAAGGCAAAGCCATAGAGATGGCTCTGAAAAGACCACGGCCACCAGTGCTGTCTCTTCGGAGCTCCTCGGAGACACCTTATCTGTTGAAGGAAGCTGGGAAGGGAGGCGGTCAAGGTGAGGAGAGAAACTTGCTGTACTACTCCAAGCTGGGCTTGGTGGTCCCATCCAGTGGGTCTGGGTCTGGGTCTGGGTCTGGAAACCAGAGCATTGACAGAAGCGGCCCTCTGGTGAAGAGCCTCCTCCGACGGTCCCTGTCCATGGACAGCCAGGTCCCGCCGTACTCCCCCTCCATAGACCTGAAATCCCCGCAGGGCTCAGCCACGGCACTCAAGGACGCACCAGGCAGTATTTTCTGTGCTTTATCTCAAAAGGCTTCTTTAAAGGACTGTAGTGAAAGAAAAGCAGCCCTGGATGACCGGCCGCAAGTGCTCCCAGCGCACCGCCTCAGGTCCTTCAGTGCATCTCAGTCCACAGAGCGGGAGGGCCCCACCCCGGTGACCAAGGTGCGCATCAAGACCGAGCCCAGCAGCCCCCTGTCTGACCCCTCAGACATCATCCGAGTCACCGTGGGCGACGCTGCGGCCGCAGCCGCAGCCACAGCCACGAGAGACCTGCCTCTGAAAACCGAGGAGGACCCGAAGGACATGAGCAGGCTCCCCGCCAAGAGGAGGTTCCAGGCAGACAGGAGGTCGCCCTTCAAGAAGGCGAAGATCAGCGAGCATAGGCCCCCGGCCGCAGATGGGAACTGCGAGGACGGCCCGAGCCCTCCTCCGCTGGACGGCGAGTTCCCCGATTCTGACTTGAGCAAAGACGAATTGGGTGAGTTGGAGGGGGCGAGGCCAAACAGAAAGTTTAAATGCAAACATTGCCTTAAGATCTTTAGGTCAACAGCAGGCCTTCACCGCCACGCTAACATGTACCATAACCCAGAGAAGCCCTACGCTTGTGACATCTGTCACAAGAGGTTTCACACCAACTTCAAAGTGTGGACACACTGTCAGACCCAGCACGGCATAGTGAAGAACCCGTCCCCAGCCGTGAGCTCCCACGCGGTTCTGGATGAGAAATTCCAAAGAAAGCTGATTGACATAGTGAGAGAGAGGGAGATTAAGAAGGCCCTGATCATTAAGCTGAGGCGCGGCAAGCCTGGCTTTCAGGGCCCGAGTGGCTCCCCGGCGCAGCAAGTCATCAAGAGGAACTTGCGCCCGCGGGCCAAAGGCGCGTACATTTGCGCTTACTGCGGAAAGGCGTACCGCTTTCTCTCTCAGTTTAAGCAGCACATAAAAATGCACCCGGGAGAAAGAGCCCTCGGAGTACATAGAGCTGCTAAGCCAAAAGAGCACGCTCCTCTGGCCAGCGCGGTAGAGAGCAAGGAGCTTTACCCGTGCCGCCTCTGTAATGCTAAGCTCTCTTCTCTTCTAGAGCAAGGCAGCCACGAGCGCTTATGCCGGAACGCCACCGTTTGCCCTTACTGCAGCCTCAGGTTCTTCTCGCCCGCCCTGAAGCAGGAGCATGAAGACAGGTGTGAGTCCAAGAAGCTGACCTGCCTGGAGTGCATGCGCACCTTCAAGTCCTCCTTCAGCATCTGGCGGCACCAGGTGGAGGTGCACAACCAGAACAGCATGGCCCCCGCTGAGAGCCTCTCCCCGCCCGCGCTCGACCACAATGGGGAGGGGCCGGCAACTGCCAGGCCCCTGGCCCAGCCCGAGCCCGGCAAGGCGAACCACATCTCCGCACCGCCCAAGGACGACAACGCGTTCAGTGACTCTTCGGAGCAAGTGAACTTCGACTCGGAGGACTCCTCCTGTCTCCCCGAAGACCTCAGTGTCTCCAAGCAGCTGAAGATCCAGGTGAAAGAGGAGCCTGCAGAGGAGGCTGAGGAGGAGGCGCCCGAGGCCAGCGTGGCTGCCCGGGACGCGGGCCCCAGCAAGGAGGCCGGGTTGTGGCCCTGCGAGAAGTGCGGAAAGGTGTTCACGGCGCACAGGCAGCTGGAACGGCACCAGGAGCTGCTGTGCTCTGTGAAGCCCTTCATCTGCCACGTGTGCCACAAGGCCTTCCGCACCAACTTCCGCCTCTGGAGTCACTTCCAGTCCCACATGTCCCAGGCCGCTGAGGAGCCGGTGGTGGTACAGAAGGAGGCCGAGGTGGGCCTGGGGCCCACAGACTCGCCCTCACCGCCCCCCCTGCCGCCCCCGCCACCCCTGCCCAAGATTCAGCCCCTGGAGCCTGACAGCCCCACGGGCCTGCCTGAAAACCTGGCCCCGGCCACTGAGAAGCTGTTCGCACCCCAGGAGTCGGACACCCTCTTCTACCATGCCCCGCCCCTGTCGGCAATAACCTTCAAGAGACAGTTCATGTGCAAGCTCTGCCACAGGACTTTCAAGACTGCCTTCAGTCTCTGGAGTCATGAGCAGACGCACAACTGAGCCCCGCCCCGCCGGGTCCCAAGCTGTGGACCACCTCCCTGGAAACAGAGTATTTTTGAAAAAGAGTAATAAAGGCTGGAAATTGTTATGCTTGAATTTAGGCTTCCATAAAGTGATAATGATTGGAAATGTCCTCATGCAACGTGAGAAATAAACTGAAATACCGCAGGTCCGCACCTTGCAGCGAGCAGGGGTTCGACTTCATTACTGTTGGAATTGGGTGAAACCCCACGAATTGCATGGTTCTTCATTCCAAGGTGTCAGTGTAATCACTTCATTGAGGCTTTTGTTTTTTACTCATTTGTAACTAGTGGAATGCTAGCAAAGTATTCCTTCCCTTGGTTATCTCAGACACCTAATTCTAGTTAAATCTTAGCCACGTTCCTAAGACCAAAAATGTATCAGAAAGAAGTGGAGTCGTCGCAGTATTGATTTAGATCTTAAAATACCTTAGCAATAAAAAAAGGTAAACCTCAACTTTAATAAATTATCCTGACACTTGATAAAAACAAGTATTTGGTATTTTGTGGTCATGTAGATCTTTCCTTTTGTATGAAAACTGTGAGAAATTTAAATCAGCAATAGACACACTTAAATTTTTCTGAGGTAGCTGACTTGCCCATGGTCACCCAGTGTAGAGTGGCGGTCACACTGTCAGAAGACGTGGATGGGAGCAGGTTCACAGGGCCCTGCCTGGCCTTCTCCCACGCTGCTGTCGCCTGCCATGGGCACGTCCTGACAGCACGCGTGGGCCGTGGGCCACACCGCGTCCAGCCCTGGTTCACACCCACCCAGGAAGGAGTCGGTGTGCAGTGTCCTCTGATAGATGAAGACCTGAGTGAGACTGGGACAGAAGAGCCAAAGCTGACGTGCAGCACTCACTTTGGACCTCACGGTCGGCGTGGCAGGGGCGGTGGGGCAGGTGTTGGCACGGGGTGGCCTCTGTGCCCTGAGCACACAGTGCAGGGGACGCCCCGCGGTGCCTCACGTGGTACCCGAGAGTCCCGCCGCCCTCCGGGGTGTGGCTGGGTACCCGGATGCGTGAGAGCTCTTACTCTGGCCCGTGGCCTTTGAGGGGGTTTTCGTCTTTGATGTGCATTGTAATTAATTAGAAGAATTTTAGAAGGTGTTTCCAAAGCTCAGTGGGTATTTCAAACGGGAAAACTTACTTCGCTTGTGTGGAGAGGGTTAGATTCATAAGCAAGAGAAACGCTGAAACTACAGAATCCTTCAATATAGGGACACGATGAAGACTCCCAGTTTATACTTTTTTACCAGCTAGTCTTTCAAATTAAAATCCACTACTGAGATTGAGAACTGATTTTGAATTCATGTTCTAGCAGAACTGTACCCGCCATTCTCATTACCGGCATTCCATAGTAGCGCTAAGATACTCTTTCTATTGAAACACAAGGGTTTTTATAAACTACTAATTGACTTTGTGTATTATAGAAACTATATATGAGATTTTGCCTTTGATCCTTCCACTTGAAAAACTATCAGAAAGCCCAAGATATTTTCGTAGTTTCTATTTTGTTCTTCAATTTGATGGAGAAGGGAAAATAAAAGTAGGTTGCAGTTCCTGATTCTTGCTCAGTCTTTCTATTTCTAGAAGAAATCTATGCATTTTGATGATGCTGACCTCTCCTGAAGGCAGCATCAGGATGGGAGACTGTACCGAGTCCACCCCACCTGTTGCATGGTGTTTCTTACCCTGAACGCCTGGCAGCGGTCACTTATCCAAGAGAAGAATTTCCCTGAGTCGTCACACTGCCATGGCCATTAGAGGCTCCAGAAGCCCCATGACACGTCATGTCTTGGCATTGTACGTTCAGTATCCCAGGACTTGAACCTTTATGCTACATTTTTGAAGGTTTTTTAAATACTTTTAATCAGTAAAAAAATATTTTTGATCTAAGTATAGGCTCTGCATATCTGTTAGATTTTAAAAACTACCAGTGTTTTTGTCTTGTTCACATTTTTGTCTAGGCAAGAAATATAAGATTTCAAATAAAATTTTGAACCAAAAACATTTATAAATGCAATTCTGGTTTTTCTATTACTTTTTATACCGTACCTTAAAAGCATTAGGCTGAAAGAGTTTATTTTGGTGGTCAAAAAAAAAAAAAAAAAGCTTCCACTCATGTAACTATTTTAAATGTTGAGAAGTAGGATAATGAAAGACACCTTAATTGCTTTTTTAGAAGAATGTTTATCTTGGCCAGTAGGCAGATATGTGGTGTAAAATAAATTGGTCTTTCATTGTTGCAACTCTTGAAATAGTAAAGATATTCTTGTAAATGTTTTTCTGATTGTAATTAATTTTTAAAAAGGTAGAAAGTTCACTATTCCTTGTAAGTATTCAGGATGCCTGCTTTTTTATGCAGTTGTGAAAGAATGTAAAATGTTTTAATATATTCTGTTAATCCGAGAATGTTGTTATTTTCTTTATGTGGTGGATGGAGGTGTGACATAAAGTGCGTTTTTTATCATTCAAAGTAAGCAATGGAGGTAACAGATACTGTATATTTTAATTGTAATATTTCAAGATTAATAGTAGACTATTCACCTTTAAAACTAGTATACATTTACAGTTTTACCAGAATGTACAGCAATTCAGTAACCGCATTATTTGCATTTGTGGGGAGACGGCATCCTGGGCTTTCTGTTTTGGAAGAGATCACGTGAGGCCTTAGTGCAGCTCCCCCAGTGGCTGATTCCTTCTTACCTAAACCCCTGTCACCCTCTTGGTAACAGAGGGAGGAGGCTGGGAGATGGAAGCAACCGCGCCCTGGCTGGACGGGCAGCTAAGCGCTGGGCAGACCCCTGGCCTTTGCCGCCAGCCCATGTGTGTACGGCTGTAACCTGGAACTTTAAGAAAGAAAATACTTGCATTTTCTTTGTACAAAAATAATTAGATGCCAGTCCTAACAGATTTCTTTATAAATTTCATCCAGTTAACCATTACTGGAATATTACAAGTCAGTTTGTTGATTTCTGATGTCACGTTGATGTTTTTTGCAGTAATTGTGAAATGCATTATTGATTTAAATAATGCTGATACACATTTAATAAGTGTTCTTTAACACTGACTTCTAAGCTTCCTTTGTTTTAAAAATAGGTTTTCCTCTTCTGTGGCGTTAGCACTCTAAGAAGTTGGATGTGTGAGCGATGGCAGGGCTCTTCTGGTGGTCTCCAGAAGGCCTCTAGCTGAACTGAATGGGTGTTGAGCTACTGGAGGAGAAAGACAAGAGAGTTCATGTTGGGTGTTTTAAAAACTCATTTCAGAATCAGGCTTCAGGGAACCGAAGTATTTTACTGTAAATCTTTAAAATAATAGAATTGAGCATTGTTTTGTCATTTGTTAGTGCTGTCTGGATTTCCACTTATTCTTGGTCAATACTGAGTATCAAAAGGTGATAATTTGTGACTGATGTTAACCCCAGTGTCTCATCACCCATTGAAGAGATGCTTGTAAGGACCCGAGTTCGATCCCTGGTACCAAAAAAAAAAAGATTAAAAAAGGAGATGCTCATTGCTCAAAAAACCCAAATGGATGGTTTTGCAGTGGTGTCTGCTTTGATGTGGTATGCCTCAGCAGAGGAAATCCTTCATTTCTTAGGAACAAGCTTTTTTTGGACTGAAAATTAATAGTAAAATAGAATAATGTTAGCCCATTGCTTACTTGTATCCAATTCTGTTGTCTGTTCCTTTGCTGAAGTCTTGGCTGAGAATGATTGGAGTCAATAAATCTGAGCTGTTTTGCTGAGTCCTGGCCTGGTTGGCACCTCAAGCACTTCCAACTTGTGATGGCGGAGCATCGCTTGGGCACCTTTTCCCTGTCTGTCCAAGTTCGTGGTTCCTTATCTGTCTTTCTCTTTCCTTTTGAAGTGGGAGCTTGGAGGGATGGGCGTGTGCATACAGTTTCCAGGCACCCCTGGTTGGTGTTACCCCGAGTGTGGCGGTTGCTGAGCTGGATTTGCTTCTGCTTTAAGGACCTCAGCAGTGCAGCCTTCTCAGCTCTGCTCTTAGCTCCTTAGCTCTCCCCATTGCGAGGGGGCCGAGCCGTAAGGGACCGGCACCCGGGAGGGCACCTGCCCCCACTGCTGGACTGAGGGGCACACTGCGCCCTTGTGCGCCTACCTCTCCCTCTGCCTGTGTCTTGAGCCTGCCTTTCTGGGGAGCACCCGCACCCCACACCAGGGACAAGAGGTGGCCACTGGAAATGTCCTGCTGCACTCAACCTGCTGTGCTGTAGCCACCAAGTGGCATTTTGTGTAAAGAAACATTTCCCCGGCAGGATTACAGCAGGCTTGGGGTCTGGGTGTGTTGAGCTCCTGTCTCCTCCTCAGCCTTCAGCACATGCTGCAGACAGTGAACCAAGTCCCAGTGTGCAATACCCCCAAGCTGAAGGGCATGCGTTCAGGGGCTGTGCAGACAGCTGTCAGCCGCCCTCCCCGGCAGGACACTTTGCTCACGTCACCCATGCTGCGATGACACAAAGAAGCCCTGGCCACTTGATGTGGCTGGTGCCCTGTCCTCCAGGAGGTGCCTCCTGGCTGCTGGACACCCACTCCTCCCAGGCTGGCCCTGTGTTTCTGCACTCGAGAGCAGCAGCCTTCAAGGAGGGGCTTAGACTGCAAGCCCCTTGCCCTTGAGTCCCACGTGCTCGTGTGCTGCCATTGCAGTTCCGGGTGTGCAACACGGTGCGTGTGTCCTGGGCTGCTGAAGTGCCCACGAGGTCCTGAGTTTGCAGAGCTCTGCGCCAGACTGGGTTTTGCTGAGAATGGTGAGCAGCAGCTGCCCAGCGCTCGGTGTGGAGAAGCCCGACCGCGTGCACACCATCCGCGTGCACACCGTCCACAGGCTGGTGTTTTTCACTCTGCTTCCTCCCCCTTCCTCGGGCAGCCAGAGCCCTCATCTTTCAGTCTGGAATCTTCCTCAGCCTGGCCTGTGGTCCCATTTGCGCCCCTCCCTGGTGTTTCCTCCACTCTAGGCACAGCCAGGCGTCGGGGGCCACAATGCACAGAAGCTGCAGTCTCCTCGCCTCACCCCGAGGGTGGCCGGGTGCCACCTGCTCCCTCCTGGCAGTGTTTTACTCATTCGCCTGTGTGTCTCCTGCCAGTTTCTCCCATATGTTTTGTGTGGCGCTGGGAATCAAAATCCCCTGAGCTGCATTCCCAGCCCTTTTCATTTTATTTTGAAACAAGTCTTGCAGAGTTGCCCAGGCTGGCCTCGGATTCCCAACCCTCTTGCCTCAGCCTCGTGAGTAGCTATGATTACAGGGATGTGTCACTGCGCCCAGCCTCGCCCACAGCCAGTTTGGGCATCTGTTGATGTTTTTGCCTCAGTTATTTTTTAGTTGTTACCAAGCGCAGATTTCTTCACCCCCCACCCCCCATCCCCTCATCTATTTATGGGGCTTTCTCCTGCAAGTAAAAATGTCCACCAGGGGGCCAGGGATATAGCTCAGTGGTTCCGCCGCCTGCCTCGAAAGCACAAGGACCTGAGTTTGATCCCCGGTAGCAAAACCAAAAAACAATGTCCACCAGCTGATGATGGTGCCACATGCCTGTAATACCAGCACTTCGAGGCTGAGACAGGAAGCCTGCAAGTTCAAACCCCACCTGGGCAACTGAGAAAAAAGAAAAGAAAGACTGGCGTGTAGCTAGGTGGGAGGGTGTCCCTGGGCTCAATCCCCAGTATTGCACCAAAAAAATTCTGTCAGTCCCACTAATTTATTCATTTACTTGTATGTGTGTGTTGTAGATTCATAGACTCCTACTCTATTCAGTGTGTCACAAGCAGTTGCCATCTCTTTTATTTGATGTTCACACTGGTCTGGCATCGACGGCCTCTGCCCTCCCACAAGCCCCTTCATTCTCTGAGTGTTCCTTTCAGCCCTGTCTCGTTCTCTCCCTGCCAGAGCTCTGAAACCAGCCACCTCTCTAGGGAATTCAGGTCCCTTTTGGGGAGAGGAGTATGGAAACCGAGACCAAGTCTGTACAGTGGCCCTTGAAGGGGACGGGGACCCCAGGCCATTGGCAGTCAGACTCAGGGAAATATACGCATGCTCACACCTGGATGTACTCCGAATCCTCTGCTACACGCGGGGAGATCTGCCAGGGCGTGCTGAGAGCCTCAGCCACCATCCAGTACCCTGGGGCAACGGCCTGCACTTCTCCTGGGTGGGAGAACCAGCCTGTCCTCTCCAGGCTCTGTGAGCCAGTCCCAGCCCCGGGTCCGCAACGCCCACCCACCTAGCAGAAATCTACAGAGGGAAGGGCTATGACTGTTTCTTTGTCTCTTTCTCCTTACTGTTCTTCTGATAGTGGCCTCCTGTATTTTAGCACTGTGGTGTTGGATGCCTGTAGAGAACTGATGTACTTATCCCTCTTAGCATTTGCTAAAACGACCCTTAGTATCTACGGTGAAACCTACTGCATTTGCATTAGTGGATCTATCCTTGCTTTCTTTTAATGAGTCTTAACATTGTTAGTCAGCTTTTGAGTACTGTAACAAAAGAGGAAAGGTTTATTTTGCCCCATGGTTTCAGATTTCGGTCCAATTTCTTTGGGCCTATGGTGAGGCAGTACATCATGGCTAGAGAATGTGGCAAAACCTTCACTCCATGGCTTGGAAATGAAAGAGGAAGAGGAAGAGGAAGGGCTGGGGTCCCAGGGACCCTTCTGAAGCACACCCCCAATGACCTACAACCTCCCTGGGTCCCACCTCTTAAAGGTGCCACTCCTCCCAATACGCAGCAGTGAGCTGAGGATTAAGTCTTTAATTCAGGAGCCATTGCTGGACCAGACCAGATCCAAACCACAGAAAGCATGGTGTATTTTTCCATTCTTCTGCTTTTAGCCTATTTGTGTTACTATATTTAGTGTGTCTCCTGTAGTCAGCATATATTCCAGTATTGATTTTTTAGTCCAGTCTGATATTCTCTGCCTTTCAATCAGCATATTTAGATCATTTGCATTTAATGTGATTGTTTATATGGCTGGGATCAAATCTACTATCTTATCACTCATTTTCCATCTATCTCATCTATCCTTTGCTCCCTGTTTTATCTTTTTCTACTTGTTTTGTTTTGCGGTACCGGGAATTGAACTTAGGCCCTTGAGCTTTCAAGGCAGGCACAGTGCCACTGAGCTAAATCCCCAGCCTTTTTCTGCCTTCTTTTGGATTAGCTGAATATTTTTTTATGATTCCATGATGTTACAGTTCATACCAGATGTCCCACAGATCCTCATGTGCTCATAGGTGGTGCTTTGGGGGGTGACTGGATAATGGGGTGTGATGCTCATTACTGGATTGGATTGGTCCACTGATGGGTTTGTAGCTAAATGTGATGTTGGGCAGTGAAGCTTGGTCAGAGGAGGCTGTCACTGGGCCGTGTCCTGGAAGGGTCTGTCTCCCTCCTCCTCCCTTGATCGCTCTGCTTCCTGCAGCCATGGTGTGAGCAGCTCTCCTCTGCCAAGCCCCTCGCCCTGCAGCCAGCCAAAATAAAGTTCTGGTATTGGGCACTGTGTCTCAGCACTGAGAAACTGACTAAACACTGACTTCTTTTGCTGGCCCACAAGCTGTCCCTGCTTTGTGGATTCTACAGGGGTGTGGCTGACTTCTCCTCCTCACCACAGCCTACCCTTAAGGCACCTCCAGCTGCTGTCCACCCAGCCACCACCTGGCCTTTATGCTTCGGTTGGCAAACATTCACTTCTGTGGCTGGCAGACCAAGAATGCACTGTTACCACCTTTCTGCAGTTGGTTTCCTCACAGAGGCTGAAGGAGCAAGAAGCGCAGCCTCCGGACTTCCTGTGTGTTTCCATCTCTGCAGGTCCGGATTTGTGCCGGCTGCTTCCTTCTGCCTGGAGGCCATCAGCATTCCTCACAGGGGACTCCTCAGTGCTGAATTCTCTCAGCTGCATATGTCTAGAACTTTACCTCACCCACTTTGGAAGATATTTTTGCTGGGCATGGGGTTCTCCACTGACAGTTTGGTTTTTCTGGGCTTTGAAGATGCCGCTTCAGTGTTTCTAACTTGAGCCATGTTCAATGAGGAGCCTGCTGTCCTCACCTTTGTGCCTCTGTACCTGCATCGTCTTATGTACTCTGGCTGCTTTTACTTGTTTTGTGTACTTACCAGTCTGTTGCTGTCTGACAGGAGGTACTGTGATACAGCTGTCATGGCATGTATGTGTGCGTGCAGTTGGGTTCATTTAATTTCTTAGATTTTATAAATTCATAGGTTTTAAATCAAATTTGGAAAGTTTTCAGCCACGAACTCTTCAGATGTTTCCTTTCCGGCCAGCTCTTTCCTCTCCCTCGAAGACCCCGGTCACTGTACGTCAGCCGTCTCAAATTGTCGCAGAGGCCCCTGTTGCCCCGGGAGGCGTCTCTCTCCTCTGCTCCACTCGGGGTAGTTTCTGTTAGGCCCTGCAGTGCCTCAGCCGCCTTCACCGCAGACCTCCTTTTCCCTGCTGGGCCTGGATGTGGACCTCGTCCGCCCAGCCTGTGCTCTCCTCCACCTGCCTTTCCTTCAGCTCCCCGGCAGCCTCCCCTCATGCTGGTCCCGTCGCCTCGCTGGTCTGTGGGGTTCCTGTCACCTGCATCTGCAGAGCAGGCTGTCGCCCCTGCGCGACCCGCCTCGGGGGCTGCGATGCTTGATTCCTGTAAATATTCTGGAGCTGGGTTGGGGAACATGGCCGATTCATTAGGGAGAGTTCTGTGCTCTCAGACTCTGCCTTTCCACTGTGTCCCCGC